TCTGTCTCTGGTGAGTTCTCTCAACCCCCTACACCTCCGGCCTGTACCCCAGCTCGTTTGCATAAATGAATAAAATCACTCTTTAAAAAGACCCTGCGGATGAAGAGTGTGGTGCCCAAGAGCAGCTGACTAAGAGTCTACCCTCTTCATCCTGCCAGCCAGACGAGCCCGCGTCATGGAGGAAGTCCGGGCACTAGAAAGTGAGAATGTGCCACAGAAGCCAGGGCAAAAGAAGTCAGCCTGGATACGAGAAGCGGGAAACGCCACAGAGAACAGAGTCTGGCCTTTGCTTCCGGTGCTCACCTGGTCGGGAGAGAGAGACACGGCCCACACGGCTCCGTCATGCGCGTCCACCGTCTCCAGCAGATTGCCCGAGGCCAAGTCATAAAGCTGCAGCTTTCCCGTCTATGGAGACACAGCACACAACACAGCACCTCTGCACTGAGGCTTAAAAGTCAGTTTAGAGAAGGCCGCATGGCCAAGCGGCAACCGGTGGCCGACAGCTGAGGACAGGGCCCCCCACTTCTGTGCTGCCTCCCCAGCCTCCACGAACAGATGCCGCCCGGCCCCAGCTGAGAGCCGGGACCCCGGGGTCTGCGCACAGCTGAGACCGCACAGCCCTGTCTACTGCACGCCTGCCGCTGGCTCCCCAACTTTGAAAGGTGAGTGTGATGTCCGTAAGCAAGTCAGTAACAGCGAGCAGCAAATCCAAACCGCTCTAGAAGCGGAATCAGTGCTTTGGTGGATCACCCTACACTCGTTGCTTCAGCAACCTTTCTCCAGCCAGGTTTCACTTCCTCCTCCGAGGTTCAGACGTGAGGAGCACCAGTCTGCACCCGGGGGCGTCCAGGCAGCCCCAGGACGAGCTCCTGCACCCGAGGAGAGAGTGAGTACAAGAGCCAGGTCCCCGGGACGCCTCCCTGCCTGGCTGCTGCAGGGCTCACCCCGGGGCGCTCTGCTCATCTGTAAAATGACTTCACAGCATCAGCCTGTGCAGTTGTTGGGGGCAGAAAATGAGGTTGATCTCGCTAAGTGTGTTCCCTAACAGTGGAAGGACATCTGTTAAGAGCATGGACGAGGACCAAGGGAAACTCTGACATGAAATCTGACATTTATTCCCAGACACCAGACCTAATCGCTTCCCAGCTTATCTTACACTTTTGTTGGACGAGGGAAAGAAAGCAAACCATTGTCAGAGATAGGTTTCTAATTTAAAAAAAGAAAGAAAGAAGAAGGTAGCATTGGCTTATGGGGATAATGCTTACAAGTATCCACAAAGCACGTTTTAAAAAGTTCCCTAGGCCTTACCCCAGCTAACTGTCACCACTACCCTGCTGACTCTGCTCAGCTTTTCTTAGCCATTCCTGTCGTCAGTCTCTGTTAAGCGTTCTGGGAACTGAAGTAGGGTCTTCATAACCAGGGCTGAGAGGGTTAACTGACTGTGCAGAGGCCTGACTGCAGAAAGTTAAAGAGTGGGGCCCATCAGGTGCAAAACTCACTGTTGAAAAAGCAAGCCTCAGCAACACCCCACTATGGACATAAGGAAACACATGAAGAAGCAATATGACTCGCTCCAAACTGGATAGGGGAGTTAGGCCAAACCCACGTCCGCTCATCCCCCAGAACCAGCCAGATTAGCAGCTCTCTGAGGAGTTGGTCAGTCTGTCTGTCGTGAACGCGTCTTCAGCCAGACCTGACGCTCGGCACTTAACATGTGCAGCATCTGTCTCCATGAGGACAAGCATGTCGTGCTCGGAAGAGGGTGGACGTGTGCCCACAGAATGTGAGCGACGTTTATCTCAAGGGAGCGGTTGTCACGTCTTCACAATCTCACATATGGTTTGATTTCTTTTTTAATGCAAAGAAAATAAAAATCCCCATATAGCCAGCTCTAATATATTTCCTGTATGCTAAAAAAGAAGCAGGTCGTTCCAACAACTCGGAGAACCTTGAGGAGAAAAGCCTCCAAGATCCAAGAACAAGTCTGCTTACCTTTGTTCCTATGATCACCTGCCTGTCACCAGGCACGAAGAATGAGCAGAGTGCGTACTCACAGGCCATCGTGCGTATACACTGCAGCGTAGACCTGCGAGAAAGAAGGAATAAGCAACGGAAGCTAAGTTGGCGGGTGCTATGGGAACGAATGAGTATTTTCTGGATGATTCCATTTGTCTAGCGAACTAGGAAGCTTACGGGTGTTAAGGTGTGAAGTTTGAGGAAGAAAAGTATGAAATGTTCATCTAGGCGAGTAAGGAAAGAGAAATGATGTCAATCTCTGGCAGCACCAAGATGCTACTTGAGCTCAAAGCGCAGGGAGTATGTTTCTGGGTTTTTCTCCAGCCATGTACTGCTACAGCTTCAGAGAAGGACAATCCAGGCACTTCCTGTGCCAGACACAAAAAGGTCACTGGGGCCACATTGCACTCCCAGGTCTGTGGTCAGAATGCACTGAAGCCACACTTTGAGGAAGCAAGTAACTGACCTCTAAGAATGCTGACCACTAATTCAAGGGAGGAAAACACTGCTGGGTAAAGCTACGGAAGGCAGATTTCCTACTCGGACCTGTTCCATATCTTCACGGAATCGGCAGCTGCTGACAGAACAGCGATGTTATCTGAGCTGAAGGACAGTGTCCGCACGTCACTGCGGTGCCCCCCAATGGAGATCCTGCTCGTCCTGATGGGCTGAGGTGTGGGCGTGGATGGCGTCAGCGAGTACAGCTCCACCAGGTTGTTCTGCAGCAGGAAGACAGCCTTTAACTCTCCTTTAGGCGCATGGATCAGGTCAAAGGATCTGTGTGAGGAAACAGCCAAGTGTCCTGGTTACCGCTTCAGCCCACGAGGTTACCCTTTGCTGAAAGGCAGGGGCTGGCTGCGTGTCCCCCATCTGCAGGAAGTCAGATCAACTCTGAAGACTTTTACCAAGACGAGTGATGAGCACTAGCAGAGGTCAAGGAGAGGTTTTTAATCAAAGGAACCTAGGCTCCGGTTCCATTTCTCACAAATAATTTTTGTGTCTATATTTTTTCACGAGACCTTAAATCCTTTATGAACTTGCTTACTAGGTAGCAGGGAAACAGCGTGACTAGATACAAGGGTATTTTGTTTCGGCCTGACGTGATGAGTGGTGGACCCCTATGAGGGCAGCGGGAGCTGAGGGTGACCCGGGGTTCCCCTATCACTGTCCCACTTGCGCAATTCAGGGGCTGCTTAAACGCTGCACAACAAGGCCCAGTCAGCTTTGCAGGCACTATCCAGTTCCACAATACTTAAGTGACTTCAGTACATGTTTACTTACTTGATTTTGGCAGATGTTTTGATATTAGTCACCCGTTGAATTTCATCTTGCAGAGTCATTTCCACACTGACATCAAGACCTTCCTCTTCCCCTTTGCAAGAATTTAATCTGAAGGGCAGGGAAGGAAAGAGTATCATACGATCACTCTTCTAGAAGCAGCTTTGTTATCACCTAAGCTCAAGTTCTGGATCCAAGAACAGCAGGCCGTGTGACCCTGCGCGGGTCACTAATCAATGTTGACCGGAAAATTCAACAGCGTAGCATATGTGGAAATGCTTTGTGACAGTGTCTCAAATATACTTTTCCACTTAAGGGGTACCCTCAATAAAAGGTTTCTGAATGAACCTGTCCATAAAACTTGCTGGGGCAAGTCTTTGTGATGCATATTATTCCACTGAAATGTTTCTGGTAAACTTTCCTAACTCCAGGACTTTTTAGAAAATCCATGATCTAACCATGTCACATACACAAGAGCAGATCTCAAAAATTTTGCCAAGTCAGACAGGTTATTTCACTGAAACATGGTTAAGTTTCAGCCCATGTGGAACCGAGGTGACAGCGAGCCAATTCAAGGCTCTCCTGCCTACAAACTTCACTTAGGTGGCTGAGCAGTTAAGTCTTGCTTCTCACAGTCCCAAAGGTTTAGCAACATGCAGCCCAGCTTCCTTCTGTATTTGGATGCTGCCATTAAAGACACAGCACAGGCCTCTCGGAATTAGCTCACAGACTATCATTAAAAATCTGTGCAGTCTTTGGGGTGCTGTGTGGCCAAGTTCGGGACCAGGAACATGCTCGCCATAAAGCTGTAAAACTGAATAGGATTTTCAAATGTGGACTGCTGTGACTCAAGAACTTAATTACTAATAAAGCAAGAATTTCCTTAAAAAGTCATAGTTTTCCATCATCAGTGTGGCCCATCCCGGACACTTATCAGTAAATGTCACGAAAACACACTTTGCTTTCTTTTTAGCTTTCTTCATTTTCTTATCCATTTTCTTCTGAATTTCCTCTTTGGAGAGGATACAAAACACTTCCAGCACAGAATCAGTCCCCTAGAAAGACAAAAGTTGATCTGAGTCCGGGGCAGGTTATTTGTGACTTAGCTTATTATTTTCTGTACAAACTAAACAATAACATTAATTTTTCTTTCCTTATGAGATGTATAACCTTAGATAACAATCTGACTTGCTTTCTCAACTGTAAGTTTGACATACTGCTCTGAAGACTAGCTTTAAAATTGCGTAGAAAAGCAGGCATTAAATAAATGGTCGCTAAAAACAAGAGCCCTAAGTTAACAATCATAGAGCATTATGGCCACTACACTAGTGGAAACTAGGGATCGTAGGTCCATTTACTAAATCATTAAAACAACCAAAGAAAAACTTATTGCTACACTGAAAACGAGTCGAAAACAAACTTCTGGAAGCCTGGTCTTTGTCCCTTTCCCCTAGGCCCAGCACTCACGTGGCAAGCAAGGATCCTGCCCGTCCTGTCGACCGCAAGGTTCACCACCCTGTCCCTGCCTTCCCGCATGAGGGAGCCTGCTTTTCTGCACCTGAGGATGCGCTGAGGGCGGGCAGGAGAGAGGAAGGGGAAATGTGAGTTCTGCAGAAGCGCTGAAAAGACGTGATTCCAAGAAATGCAGGTAAACACAACAGCCTAAAATGATGAACATTTTAAAAATGTTCAATGCTCCTTTTTCTCACCACTCAACTCAAGTGTGGATAAGAAAGCAAAAAGAATTACATCCTCAGGCGCTTCGTCCACCTCCGGGGTGCCATCCTCTTCTTCAGGGGTGTCCTGCAGCCCAAGTGACCCTTTAGTTTTTTTGCGCTCTGGTTCTTCTAGGTCTTCAATCTGTTTTCACAAGAATAGGAAAACAAGCTGAAATAAATGTGTTGAGTTCTACACAGAATTTTGTTTGAAGGGAAAGGGTCACAGATACATTGAAGTCCACCATGAACACCCAAAGCCTAAGAATCTCAGGTAAAGCCCCCAAACAGAACACTGGCATTGCCAGAAGCTACAAGCCTAAAGCTTCTCCCAGGTTCCAGTAAGTAAGGACAGTGGAACACATAATAAAGAACAAAATTGTGGGCCTTCCCTGGTGGCACAGAGGGCTGAAGTGCAGCTCTGTGAAGCCATCCATCGCCACTGCAGCAGGAGTTTGATCCCCCAACAAGGGAGTGACCCACATAGCGCTGCAGACCTCTCCTGCCCTGCCCGCTGCTCCCTCAGCAGTGGGTTTCAGTAGATCCGCCTGTTGTGCTCCTCACTCTGTCTCTGGTGAGTCCTCTCACCCCTGCATCTCTGGCCTTTAACCCCGTTCTGTCTGCATTAATAAATACCTCTTTAAAAAAAAAGAAAAAGATTGCCTACAAGCTGCACAGGAACCAGCTGGGTCACCAGAGTCCCCTCTGGCACTGTATGGACACTTCAGTGGTCACATCTGATTCATATCCCAGGAGTCTCTGAACCTGCAGACACACAGCACTGGCCGTGATCAGAACCAGCAGTTACCTCTTGCAAATAGGCTATGTCCCACGCTCGCAGTTCACTGTCGGAAGCTCCAGTGATGAGTCGCTTTTCTTCCGACACCAGAACCAATCCCCACACCTACACGGTATCAGAAAGATTCGATCAATAGGACCAGGAGATTCCAGGATGACACGGTATGCACTGCAGTGAAATCTCTGTTCACTCCAAGGTCTAAGAAAATTATGTTAAGGAAACGCTTTCAAAATGCATCAAGAGAAATCTCTTTAGAAAGTCAAGGCGGCCTAGGCTGGGATTATTTACAGATACTGAACGTTTTCTTTTAATCTCCCATCCTTATATTTAGATAATGGATGCAGAGCATAAATCCCAACTAAATCCAGTCAAATGCTGATTTTAAGTCTCAGTCTTTACCCTGTATCAGCACCTAGACCCAGTGAAATGCTGACTTCAAGCCTGAGTCTTTGCCTCTATCAGCACCTAGCAAACAGACGATGCTCCATTAATATCCACTGCCTGATCTTCAGCCTCAAATAGCTAAAAGTCGAACAGTGAAAAGAACAGTAGTGTTGCAAATCAGCAACAGATCTAGCTTTCTTCTGCCCCATTAGGTCCTGTATCTGTTTTTAGAAGCCTTGTATGTCAAGAGGGGAGGATGCAAAGGTTCTGTGACGCCAGCCTTTACGAGGCCAGAGCGCCTGTATGGGCTCCCACGGCCAGCACTTCCCCACTACCCTGGCCTTCCTGCGTCCCCGGGAACCCAAGAGCACCCCTGGGAGCCGAGGACGTCCCTTCCTTCTGCACTGCCGAGGGCTTCCCTGTCTCGTGACCCTGCGTGTACCTCAGTTCGGTGGCCAACCATTGTTTTGAAGCAGTGCTGGGTGTCCAGATCCCACCATTTCACCATGGTGTCTTTCCCACTGCAAAAAGAAAGAAGAAAAACCTCACTAGGAAGAATCGTGAAACTGACAAGGAGATGAAGGATTCTGTTTCCTCTGAAGAAAAAACACAGCCATGGCGTCCAGTGCAGCTAAGTCTAACGGACTGACTGCTCTTTGAGAAGCAAAGGTGCCGTCACCCTAACTCTCCACGTTGCTGTTCTCAGGTACAAAATAAAGTTCTCACCGGACGCACTAAAGGGACTTTGAATTCAGGCGCTAACTAACGCGGAGCTCGACCTGTCATGGACCATCTTCAACATCACAGCGTGGCCACTGTCTCTTAGCAATGTTGACCGCTTAGACCGTGTCCAGCCAGTTTCCGTCCTGAAAGTGCCTCTGCGGTGCAGCTTTTAAACCCTGATTTCCTCCAATACATTTCTGCCAGAAGTTCCACTGCCAGAACCATTTGAATAGCTTCATGTGGTCTTTTTGTCCACTCCCGTTGCCTCCTTATAAGCAGTGCAGATAACCCTGCTTTCCGAAAGGTCTACTAGCTCAGCCTCAATAGCCAGCCCATGGTGCTTTCTAGACTCAAAATCCAGCTCTCTAGCAACATTCTTAAGCCCTCGCGGTACACGGCTCCTGGAGCTGCTGTATATTCCCTCCCCGTGGTGCGGCGTCTTCTCCCGGGCAGTAACACGCTCCAGTGTGTCCAGGAGCAAACCCGCCACTGACATGGCATTCCGTGCTCTCTCACAACTTCTGGACCACCACTGTGGTTCTTCTCGCGATGGCCTGGCCACACAGGACCCCCTTTCTCTTAAGTGTGATGACTACGATAAGCTGACTTAGGAAATCGCTGCCGTTTTGTTACTCTGACCAATGTAAACGGAAATTTCAACTGGTTCAACCTGCTAATCTGCCCAGAAGGCCTAGAAGTACCCTGTCCAAGCTGGGGAATGCCATGTCAGTGGCAGTCGCCTCTGCCCACCGCTCTGTGTTCTGTTCGCCTGACTTCCCAGGCCCACTCTGTTAACGGCAAGCCAAGAGCCGCAGGCACTGGACAAGCTGAAATCGGGGGAGATAACGACAGATCAGAATGCTCGAAATATAACTGACCAATTTGGGTGGGGGGAGAGAGGAGCGAGGAGAGCAGAGAACAGGAGCCGCTCCGGGCCTGCGTGCGGCGAGGGTAGTGAGTCGGGGCGCAGACGCCCCGTGCAGCCCTCTCAGCGCTCTCTGGACGCGGTCACCTAGAAGCCGACAGACAGGAAACGCCGTGTCTACCTGGTCACGAGCAGGTTCTTCTCCCGTAGAAACAACGCCTGCGTGACCGCATCCTTGTGCCCCTTGAGCCGGTACAGGCCGCTTTCGTTGATCACGTCCCACACAATGACATCTGTGTCCTGACGAGAGCAAAGGACCGGCAGCCTTTTTTAAGCGCAGTAAGGGTAAATTGATAAACAAAGGAACGAAGCATTTCTGTTACAAAGGCCCCAGGGGGGTCCTTACAGGGAACTTGGAAAGCGGAGTTACTGCTACTGAATTCTACCCCTCAGGTATGACCACAGAGATCCTGTTCGCACTGTTGGCTTTCTTTTGTGTGCATCTAGCTTTCTTTTGTGTTGCCATTCACCTATTAAGAAATTCAGATAATGCTGGCCATAGTACTTCATAATCCCTTATTTTTTTTATTATTTCCATTTTCCCATGTCCTTTGTTATTATTTTTTATAATTATCAATTCTAAGAGATGATAATTTATTTAAAAATCCTTCTATTTTAGCCATTTCATTTCTTGTTATATATTATTTTGATACATTATACACACATTTTGCACACATGCATACACAATGTATGTACAATGCATGTAATATATAAATGTGCATGTATATGTGATATATAAAAAATGAAAATATGTGTGTTTTGTATACTTTATATATGTATATCACCTGCTTATATATTTGTGTACATTTATGTATAGGAGAGTTAGCTTATATGTGTATGTATACACACAAATGTACATATACGTACATACATGTGTACATATATGTGCGTGTACACACACATACATATATATTGGACCTCTTCACACTGCTAATGTTTTTCACCTCCAGGTCTATTTTCTGCTTGATTATAAATTATCAAGTAGTGAATGATATTAATCTTTCCCTTTTACACTGAAAATATCAAATACATTCTTTAGTTCTTTGTGCCTTCAACCTGCTTTTTAATGAACAAATATTTCAAATTAAAGTACTAAAATCTAGCAATCTTTTCCTTTGTAATTTTTCTTTGCTAGTATGCTGACAGTCCTTTTCCACCATCAGAGATGTACTTACATATCTTCTAGTTTACTTAAAATGTCATTCTTTAAGTCTCCAATGGGCATATAGCATGAAGAACATTTTAACTTTCTGTTAAAAGTTAACAGATTAATAGATGATTCTGGCTAAAATAGTACCTTGCATTATTATTTTATCAAAATAACACATTTTGAATGATGAGTTTTATACATAAACCCAACTCTCACCTATTTTTCTCACAATATTTCTTCCATCTGTACAAACACAGCGCTCCCTGTTTTAGCCAGCAATTCTTTCGAACCATTTGCTTCAGCATAAACCTTTCACTTATTGACAGATCAAAGTCTGGGCGCCTGATTCAAGCCTCACCTTGGACCCAGAAGCCAACCTGCCTCCGAGCTGATCATACTTCAAGGAAGTGACAGCTGCTTTGTGTCCATTGAAGGTAACAGTTCCTTCCCCGCTCAGGAGACTGAAGATTCGGATAGACCCGTCCTCATACCCGACAGCTAAGTGCAGCCCATCTGGGGAGGGGCACAAGCAAGTGACTTCTTGCTTAAGTCCCTGAAGGATGAGGATCTGAAATCAAATGAGTCAAAGACAGTTCATTAAAAAATCAAGAGCATCAATAATTCAGGGTCATGCTTCTGAATGAATATTAGTGATACTCTACAACCCCTCTCAAATTCTTTAATTAAGGAATTATGATTTGGGCAAAACTAGTTCTTTGTCTAAGTCCTAATACATGCAGAAATTTCCCAAGCAATGGGATAAATTCCTAAGTCCTTCTCTTATGTCCAAAGCAAATGATTTTTCCATAGAAGGTTATAAGCTTATCCTTCCTTCAACTGAGTCCCACCTTCTAAGACATCAACCTGCATGGCACAATGGCTACTCTAGTGCCTTCCCCGAAGGGACTCTGGGAGGGCCAACTATCCAAGAAAGAACATTCTGTGAGCCACAGTAGACAAGATCAAGATATTTCTGTTTGGTTTGCAAAAGTGGTCAGTCTGGCATTTTACAACCATACAAAGTTAGAAAGCTTAGTTTAGTGATTCTTGGTTTTACCTGTATAAGTCAGAAAAGATACATGAAACACAGCAGAATAATATACCTCTCAAATGCTGAATATCTTATAACTGGTTGTCAGGGCAAATAGAAGAATGTGAACATTAGAGAACAGGCAGAGAAAAGCAAACATGTTGGGAATAATGATTGCAAATAGTTACATGTAAAAATCACGGAACAGGGATGCCTAAGAGGTTAAGTCTTATCTGGTGTGATTTTGGGAACGTAGGGTACAAGGACGCCAAGAACATACTTCATACCTGACTGTCTGGACCCAGAGGGGAAAAAAAGTCTCTTCCAGGGACACGCACGCAAGAGAACCTGCACGTGCTAAGTCAGGGCGCTCCCTCCTCTGCCTCTCCATCCTCAAGCCCCCCTAAGTCACAACCGTCTCAGATGCCTGGCTCACCTTCTCTCCTTTCCTTAAGTCCCAGATGAAAACGTGCTCACAGGCGGGCACTGCCACGTAGCGCCCTTTCTCACCGCGAAGTGTCACAAAGACAATGTTTCCTTTCTGGCTGCCGATCAGGCCAAAGACGGCGCTGGCTGCGTAGCGCAGGTACTGCTTGGTGAGCCCCATGCCGCAGAGCAGGTACCGCAGAGGAGGCGACTGCACCTGCAACCAAGATAAATGCCTTTGGGTACCTCCGACCGGCTAGGCTCGCAGAACCAAAGGCTTGTCAGGCGTTAGAGCAGGTAACTCGGGACGTCTAACTTTATTTGCTCTGAATAAATCACTGACATAACATACCCAAGCATTTTCATTTTTTTATCCATTGTTGACTCATCCTATAATCACTCATTCTTCCAGCATCCAATTGGTCAGTCAGGTCCACTTCGCAAATAGCTGACCTATGCCCTCGAGGCAGCGGAAGCATTACTTCAGCCAATTTCTTTCCCATCAAAGTTTTCAGAGATTGGCAGTCTGGGACTGAAAATATTTATGTAAGCCCACTCGGAAAGCAGGCACTGTTGTAGACACCAGCGATCTAGCAAATTCCCTGGCTATGGCACTGACTTTCTAGCACAGTGCCATAAGGATACAGGATACCCTGTATCCTAATCCCCAAGACTTATGAAAAGATGGCCGGGAACCCCACCATCCCACTTCTCCAGCGACGAGTTCTGGGGGTAGGACCCAAGGTTTTTCATTTCCAACATTCTAACATCCCCAACAGCTGCCTCTGCCGCTGCAGTTGTTCGAGCTGACAACTACGGCTCTTGTATATGCCGATCTGTGATTTCCAAATCCAGCAGCCATGCGCCAGGCACAGAAATGGAAAAGCAACTTCCTTTTTTAAAAAAATGCCGTCGTTGCTGCACTAAGTAAAATTTATCAAAAGATGATAAAATTTATCAAAAGATGAGACACAACCGGTGAAGGAGGTAAGTCTGTCTGCTACCGATCTGGGAGTGAAAAGCATAGCCGGAAACAACCATGTAGCTTAAAGACAGCAGCTCTAGCCTTCTGGGGCGCTATTCTTACTATTTTTGGTGTGGACGGTGGTAGTCTTTTAGGTTTCATTCTAGTGTTTCTGGTTATAAACTGTTGGTGTAGCTGAGCAGAAAAATAGTCAACTCTTCTAATATTAACTGCTCACTAGTCCCATTTTTCTTCTCTCAGGCACTGACATAAGTCAGTTAAAAATCAAGGGCAGATAATGGGAACATGCAGTAATGCACTCAGCCTCAGCCGTTTGATCTCTTCTCTCCCAATTCTTAATCCTCCAGCCCCAGGCGGCAACTGTCCCCCACCTCACCATACCTAGCCATCTACCAGCTCTTTCCATGGTATTTTTGTTTGAAACTTCACAGGGAAGCCTGGGCCCAGGACTCCCACACCTCTATTTCCTGTCTGGCCCACCTACACAAATACTTATTAGACATCCCCACTCGACACCACACATCACCTATAGCACGCCTTTTAGCCAAGCCTAACTTGCTCCTGAAATGCTTGCATTCTTTTCTCTGACACTGAAATACACAATTTTCCCAGCCATTCAGGCTCAAAACCCTGTAGTCATCCTGATTCACTAATAAGGAATTTTATAACAGTGAAAGTGCTTACAAGGTATTGATACCTAGTATCAAATTCTGTGTATTTATTACATGTAGTAACAGAGTTAATGAACTGAACATAAAGCACACGGAAACACATCTAGAGCATTATTATTAATGTGAGTATAAAAACTCCACACAACAACCTTCCAATTTAGGTGTTATTCTTACCTTCTTATTACAGAACAGGAAATTAGATGCAGAGATGTGAAACAGTCAAAGTCACTTAGTTATTAAATGCCAGAGCCAACTTTCAAGTTAGCCTAACTCCAAATTTTCTCCTTTTAAACACTAAGCTAAACTACTCCCTGCTTCTTTCCTCTTAGTCAAGAACCTTCACATCGACTGATTTTTCCTGGCTCTGCTCTTTGTCCAATACTTTCTGTTCCAGCTCTTTAATACTGGACCCTGCACTGGATTTCTACCCAGCACCTGAACCTCCACTTTCTTCTTACTCTTTTCATTTAAAAGCTGTAGTACCTGACTGATGTTTTCAACTGCACCCCAAAGCCCTTAACAGTTTCCAGGAACGCATCCTACTTATTGCTCTATTCTCGAAAAGCTTCTGTGTTAAGTCAGACTGGTTGATTTCCTTTCCGGACGTGCAACTCTGCCCTCCAGGTACTCTCCTCTCAACTGGAAGGGCTGCATTGTCCAGTCAGCCCACGGAGACTTGGCCTCTGAGAGCCGCGTCCCGCCGAGCGAGTCCACTTCTCGCAGGCTTTTCCTTCGCCTCGATGATGCTTCAACTATCTTCCACACAACTTGGGCCCACCACTTGCGTTGCACAAGCACAGATCTGGACGCCTTCTGGAGACAGCTCATACCTCACCTTCCCGCGCCCCCAGCGCCCCCACTTTCTAAGCTTCGCCCCGCCCCCCAAAGCACGCGAACCCGAGAGGGGCTAACCGACCTGTCAGACGTCCCTCCAGCTAATCTTCATCCAGTCCGGGGAGTGTGGGGAGAGCTCCGCGCACCGAGCACGCTGCGGGAGCACCCTCAGGCGAGCCCGGCACGCGCCAGGCGGGGATGGCACGCGCCCCCCACCCCCCAACCCGGGCCGACCACCACGGCCTCCCGGGACTGCATCGGGGCGATCGCCGCCGCTCAAGTGCCCCTCCGCCCTACTGATCGCCGGAATCCCTCCACTTCGTCTGCAGCAGACACCATCGAGGCGCCCGCGAGCACCGGGCGAACCTCAGCGGCGCAGCAAGGGAGCCCCCGGCCCCGGCCCGGGCCCCGGCGCTCCGCGCAACTCACCTGGGCCTCCACGCGGCGGCTGCCGACAGGGCCCGCCCACGAGACCCACTTCCGGCCCGCCGCGGGCCCTTCCGCCCGGCGCCCCCACTGCCTCAGGAGGAAGTGACGCACGCGGGCGCTGATTGGCGGGCGCCGGCCGGG